TTGGCGGCATAGTGTTCACGAGCAGCGCGGCGCAGAAGCAGCGAAGTGCACAGCGTCCCGCTGCTGCGCGCGGCTCCGCAAACAAGGCGGCCCGGCCGCGGCCGGTGTATAACGAGCAGCCCAGCAGGAGCGCCGTGGGCGAGGGGGCAGCAAGTAGGTAAAAATGGCAGTGAACACGAGGCGGAGTGACCCCAGCCCAAGCGACGCAAAGCCAAATGAGGAAAGGCTAACACGCTCGCGTTTGGAATCCTCCTCTTCCTCCTCCTCCTCCTTCTCCTCCTCCTCCTCCTCCTCCTCCTCCTCCTCCTCCTCCTCCTCCTCCCCCTCCAGAGGCACCAACCATTGCGTAGCCATAAACTTTCTGAGCTCCGCGCAAATTTCTTGGATCGGCGGTGGATATCCGTCCCTGTCGCGCGGAGCGCGCCAGGGGCGGCGCTGGAGGCGCCGCCAAGGAGTCCAGCGCATATCCAAGAAATCCGAGCGGTTCTCCGAAAGTGTATGCTTACACATGTTGCACCTTCGATCAAGAACCTTTGGAGTTCTCGACCTCTAGAGGAGCAAAACACTTTATGCGCCATCGTGCCACCGTGCCCTCTGGCACGTTGAGGCGTGGAAGAACGCCATGATCTGCTTGGATGGGCTTCTGAATTTCAATAATGGACCGCCCCTCCCTCTACTAGCAGACTCTTGCGTGCGCCGCCCCTCCTTTTCCGAAGATCGAATTCCCTGTGCCCGCTCGAGGATGGTGCATTTCCAGCATGGCAACTAATGCCGAATCCCCCATTCCACCCGTGCTCGCTGGAGGATGGTGCACTTCTCGCGTGGCAGCTCATGCCTGAACCCCACTTCCACGCGTGCCCGCTCGAGGATGGTGCACTTCCCGCCTGGCAGCTAATGCCTGAACCCTCATCCCATGCGCGCTCACTCGAGGATTGTACATTTTCTGCATGGCCATCAACTCCTGGACCCCTCATCCCACGCGCATCCGCTCGAGGATCATGCGCTTCCGGCATTCCCAGGCGCTGCTCTCAAGCGCTCCAGGGCCCCCCCCAAGCACGATCCTTCATTAAATCGGACGGATCTGCGTCCCGAGCTTCCAAGACGTCCCGTGCAGGTAACCATGAACACCCCGATGGCCCAATATGCATCGAAGACGGCCCAAGTGGCCCCAAGGCGGCCGAATGAGCATTGATCCAAGACGGCCCAAGATGCCTCTAAGAGGGCGGCCCAAGAAGACTTCACGATGGCCCAAGGGGCACCCAAGGCAGCCCCTAGCTGGCCTCCCGTGGGACCCACGACGGCCTTAAAAGGCCCTTCGATGGCCCAAGACGGCCTCACGACGGACCCAGACACCCACCATACAGTCAAGAGGGCACCACGACGGCCAAAGAGCGCGCCAAGTCAGCGTAAGAGGGCCCCAAGACGGCCCAAGAGAGCCCCAAAGTACCCCCAAGACGGCCTCACAGGAGGCCAAGGCAGCCCCAAGACGAGTTTCATCCTCCTCCTCCGCCTCCTCTTCCTCGTCATCGTCATCACCACCATCACCACCAGCACCGCCACCACCATCACCACCACCACCACCACCATCATCATCATCATCATCATCATCATCATCATCATCATCATCATCATCATCATCATCATCATCATCAGCATCAGCATCAGCATCAGCATCAGCATCAGCATCAGCATCAGCATCAGCATCGTCATCGTCGTCGTCGTCGCTGTCGCCACCGTCGCCGTCACCACCACCATCATCACCATCGTCATCATCAGAGTCATCATCATAATCATCATAATCATCATAATCATCATAATCATAATCATCATCATCATCATTACCATCATAATCATCAGCCTCATGATCACAATCGCCATCAACATCAACATTATCATTATCATGATCGTGGTCGTCGTCGTCGTGGTCGTCGTCGTCGTCGCAACCACCACCATCATCATCATCACCACCACCATCATCATCATGATCATTGTATGGCCATCAACATCATATTCATCATCGTCCTCCTGCTCCTGCTCCTGCTCCTCCTCCTCCTCCTCCTCATCATCTCCATCGTCATTCGCATCAATATCGTCGACGTCGTGATCATCAACCGCAACAACAACATGATCATCATCGTCATCACCCCCATCATCCTCGAAATCCTCATCCTCATCACGGCTCTCTCAAGCCTGGCGGCACGAGGTGTCACACATGACGGCCTCCCGTGCACCCCTGAACAATCGGCACCCATGATGCTGGGCTGGCACGTGACGGGACTTGCCACAAGCAACTGGATTAATAGACGCTTTCAAAAGTCCGCGCGAATTACTTAGATCGACGCCAGCAGCCGCTTTCGGGCGCGCGGAGCGCGCCAAGGGCGGCGCAAGAGTCGACGCCAAGGGAGGCTCAGGGCGGATTCCGGAGGATTCTAGAGGCCCTCGATCGAAGAAGAAGGGCCAAATAAATATAGCATGTCTGAGGTCCGCGCAGATTTCTTCGATCGAGGGCACCTGGGATCCTCCTCCTCCTCCTCCTTCTCCTCACCATCATCATCACCCTCTGGGAGGGGCCTGCCAGGGACTCCTTCTTCACCTCCTCATCGTCGTCGTCATCATCATCCTCATCCTCATCCTCATCCTCATCCTCATCCTCATCCTCATCCTCATCCTCATCCTCATCATCCCAAACCCTTTTTCCTTATGCATGGTTCCTCCCTGTCGCGCCCCCCAGACGTGTCGTTAGGACGGACCAGGACTTTCGCCTGAAACTTTCTTACATTCTGTGATCCTGGAGCTTGAACTGTGCAACGGTTTCAAGGATGGAGGGTGGGTGGTTCTCAAAATGTGGCTCTCGCCTTTGCGCCGGGCGCATTGCGGTTAAACGTTTGCAATCGGTTCATCGATGGGGGGCGTACCGTTTTCAAGAAGGTGCTCTCGCCCCAGGGCCTTGCAGATTTGGCGGGTCGTTATTAAAATGTTGCTCTCGCCTTAGCGCCGCGCAGATCCGTCTTAAGTTTCCAGCAGTTCCAGACATGCAGAGCGAGGCGTTTTCAAAATGTGGCTCTCGCTTTGGCTCCTCGTAGATTCGTCTTACAACTTCGCAGCAGCTTCAAGGATGGATGCCACGTCGTTTACATAATGCGGCTCTCACAAAAAAGGCGCCGCGCGCATCCGCCATAAAAGTTTGTAACTGCTTCAAAAATGCAGGGCGAAGCGTTTTCACCATGTGGTTCTGCCTTTAACCCCGCGTACATGCCTCTTTTTTCAAGTTCGCAACATATTCACGGATGGTTGGTGGGCCGTTTTTGAAATATGGTTCTCGCCTCATCGCCGCGCATATTCGTCAGAACAACTTCGTCAGTTTCCAGCATGGAGGGCGGGTCCTTCTCAGCATGTGGGTGTCGCCTCAGCGCCGTGCGCAATTGTCATTCAACTTCCAGAAGTTAAAGGTGGAGGGCGTTTCCGTTTCAAATTGTGGTTCTCGCCTTAGCGCCACCGCGCATCAGTTTTTTTTTTTTACATATATATATATATATATTATTGTTTTAATTATTTGTTTTGAAAAATGTCAAAGGAATAAGTTTGTTTTATTTCATACTACTATTTTATTTCATATTATTAGTATATATATAAAGAAAACAAGAATACTATGAATTCTTCGTTTCGGTCGTTGAATTGCCCGTGTTTGCCAAGAGGGGGCACGGCGAACCCGCTGCTGGACTCAGGTAGAAGGCGACGCTGGTGGCTGACAACCTCTGACGCTGAGCGGGGGAGGCGCCAGAGAGGACCGCCCCCCAAAGCAAAGGGCCAACGCAGAAGCTTTGCAGAGCCGAGGCCTTGCCTGCAGCAAGCAGAATGTGCACGCTAGGAGACCTTGTCACACCGAGCCGCGGCACAGAAAACTGGCGACCTCGCCTCGGCGAGCGCCACTTTGGGGTGGGTTGGGGGGGGGGGGGTCGCGAGTTCCTTTCGGAGCGCCCGCTATGCCCCCCCCCCGCACGGATCGACCCTCGGCTCAGCCGCCTCAGAGGGCATCCGTGGACTATGCAACACAAGCGCCTCTGGTGCTCACCACGGCCACCCTAATCAGGCCCACACCGTTCAAAAGACAGCACAGCTCAGAGCAGGTCCGATGGGAGCAACGGATGAGAATTCGGGAGGACGGGAAAAACCGACCATCCCCATCCTCAACGCGCACATGATATGCGGCCCCCTGAACAGCGGCCACCGCAGGGTGGGAATACCTCCAGCGCCCTGCGGCCGTGCGACAGGAGGGAATTGACAGTACACGGCAGTGGAAAGGACGGCCAGCAACGCCTGCCTGGCGGAACCCCTCGGCCCGAGTTCCAGGGCAGCTGCGCGTCACCAGCACCGCCAAACAGAATGACACAACGACCCCAGATCGAGCCCGCCGCGAGACCAAGCCGCGACACAACGAGAAAGAGCGACCTTCCTGAGCAACTGCCACTGCAAGGGGAGAATTACCTCCAACGCCCCACAGCCATGGCTGAAGTGCCAAGAACCGCGTGCTGGCGCAATTTAGACTCAATCAGATACCATTTTCAGCCTTGGAATCCCGGGAATGGTTTGATGCGGCTTAGCATTGTCAGGGCGCAATAATCACGCTGACTCGAGGCGTTGAAATCCCAGGAACTGTGTTTTGGTAAGGTTTAAGGACCTATGTGAAGGGAACTTCGGGAGAGGGTTTACTACAAAATCGTTGATGCGTCTTGGGTTGACTTTGGTTTTCCTCCTCCTCCCCCATCTCCTCCCCCTCCTCCTCCTCCTCCTCCTCCTCCTCCTCCTCCTCCTCCTCCTCCTCCTCCTCCTCGTCCTCCTTCCCCCCATTCCTCCCATTCCTCCTCCTCCTCCTCCTCCTCCTCCTCCTCCAACTCCTCCTATTCCTCCTCCTCCTGCTCCTTCTCCTCCTCCTCCTCCTCTTTCTCCTCCTCCTCTTCCTCCTCTGAGGTGGGTCGCCAGGGGACCCCCGAGGCGCGCACGGCGCCGCCCATGATGGAGCCCCTCAGTGGCACCTGCTGGGTGGTGGGGGTGGGTCGGCCGCCTGCCGCAACTTAGGCTTGTCGTCGTCGTCGTCGTCGTCGTCGTCGTCGTCGTCGTCGTCCCCGGCGGCGGCCCACGGCCCACGGCGACACGCTAAGCCTAGCGAGCGGATAGCGTGTCGCTCCGCTCCGAGTGGCGGGAGGTCTCGAAAGGCTCGGGACGTTGACGCTCGGGCGTGGGGACGTGGATAACGTGTCGTGCCGACACGTGGTGGACCAGAATTGGCGGAGCGACACGCTAAGCCAAAACGTTACAATATAAAGAACATCCTGGAGGCCTCGCGCGGCAACTTGAGACCCAATTTACGTAGGATCTGCGTCGGGTTCACGGCAGATTTACCTCGGATTCACGTCGGGTTTTCTTTGGACTTACGTCGGACCATCGCCGCGTGAATGTCGTCACATATCTGACGGGGCGGGCGTGTGGGCTAGATAAGACAACTATTGCGTTCCACGCGAGGCCTCCAGAATTTGCATCACAGACATCGCCGTCGTCGCCGTCACCGTCGCCGTCGTCGTCTCCACACTCTCTTGCCACATCTCCGACACTATAATTTTTCCCATCCAAGTGTGTTTCTTCGATTTCGGCCCCTGGGGCCTGCTACAGGGCTCTGGGGCTAGAGACAAAAAGGACCCGGGACGAAGAATTACTCCAGGGGGTGAATTCGGGACCGCTGGGCCACGCATGAAGATCATGTCAACGGATGGGCAAAGGAACGCGATGTCGTCGCCTTCATCGTCGACCTCATCCTCCAGAGTTGGCTATCGTTTCGGGCCATCCAGGACCACTTCGGGGCAGCTTTGGGACCTCCGTCGTCTTGTCCCGAGCTACCTCAAGAAACTCATGTTCTCTAGGCTTGAGTTTTTCCAGCTTTCGGTCTGGGCTTCGGTCAATCATCGTCGTCGCCGTCGCCGTCGCCGTCGCCGTCGCCGACGTTGCCGTTGCCGTCGCCGTCGCCGTCGCCGTCGCCGTCGCAGTCGCCGTCGCCGTCACCGTCGCCGTCGCCGTCGTCGTCGTTGTCGTCGTCGTCGCCGTCGCCGTCTCCACATTCTATAGCCAAATCTCCTACTATATGAATTTTCCCATCCGGGTGTGTCTCTCCGTTTTCGGCCTCTGGGGCCCGCTACAAGGCTTTGGAGCCAGAACAAAAAAATCCGGGACGAAAACGTCCCCTGGGGATGGGATCGGGATCGCTGGGCCGTGCATTGAAAATATCATGTCGTCGCATGTTTGGGTACGATCTCAGAGTAGCCAGCAACGGAATATAAAGTCGTCGAAGTCGCCACCGTCGTCGTCGTCGTCGTCGTCCTCCTCCTCCTCCTCCTCCTCCAGAGTTGGCCACCGTTTCGGGTCATCCAGAACCGCTTGGGTGCAGCTTTGGAACCTCCGTCGTCTTGTCCCAAGCTGCCTCACAATCTGGAAAGCAGGTTTCGGGGATGATCGGTCCTGCCAGGCATGTCGCTACGACGTAGGATCCAACATCATGGCATGTGTCGCTGCCAACATCAGGAGGCAGCCCGAGCCGAGACGGCCGAAACTCGTGCATAGAGCTGGGACCTCCTCCTCCGAGTCTCTCCTCTTCTCCCGCGGCATGGTGGAACAGCCCCTGGAGGATGCATTCCTGGACTGCAAGCCAGGCCAGGAATACCTCCACGCCGAGTTTGGGAGCCCCCCCGCTGGTCTCGGGCTGGGCCTGTTCCGATGGCTCGGGCAGGGGCTCTGCTGGGCTCAAGGGCTTCGGGTGGGGCTGCGCCTTCCTGGACCAGAAAGGGGCGGCGGTGCGTGCCACGAGAGTTATGTTGCTCCCGTCGTACTTAAGGGCCACGTCCCAGAATAAACTCTAGCACCCAGAAGCGTATCGAAGCAGTGTCGAACGAGTATCGCCTCCCAGGGCCCGACAGGTGGGAACATTCCAGTTTCGGTGTTCCTGGTGCTCACGTGTATTTCTAGCGATCAAGGCCAAATTAGGACGGAACGTCATAACAAGAGAGGCTCCTCTCCAGGGCTCAGGTGCCGAGTCTCCTGGCCGCGAAACGCCCGAGGAGAGCGCGTCGCCAATGCGACCGCGCCACTTCTTGACCTTGTCGGGCGAGGGATGGCACGAGAAACCGCCGTGGTCTGCGCGGACCTGAAGGCCCAGGGCGACAAGCGGCATGCCCGCGGCGACCTTGTCCGCCGCGATCGCAAAAGGCCCAGGGATGCAGCGCGCGAGCCGCGCGATGCCCCCGAGCGCATGCTCGGCGCAGGCCGCGTGCTCGGCTCCGAAGAGGTCATCGACGAAACGCAACATCGGAATGAACAGTAGTCGGCGCGCAAAGTGCGAGATAGGCGCGCCGACCCAGTCCCGCGCGTGCACGGACGCCACGGCGCCGGAGAGCACGGCCAGGTGCCCTGCCGCATGGGCCACGCCCTGCGCGAGGAAAACGAAGAACAGAAACCGGCGATGCATCGGAATGGCGGGCAGCCTACGGAACGCCGAGTCGATGTCGGCTTTGAAGAACATGACGCGTCCGCGCGTGCCCTGCGCTACGCCCTTCGCCACGTGATGCAGCGCGTCGATGGGCTCGGGGCGAAACTTTTCGCCTGCCGAGGTGCACTCGTTCACCTTTGCGCGAGTTTAATCGTCTACTGCCCGAGCGCGCACGTCGCCAGTGGGCCGCGCTTGCACAGCCCCGAAGCGCGGCGACAAGACGTTTGCGCCGAGGTCGGCCTGCTCAGCCGTGACTGGCTGGGCCACGCGACCCACGCGCGCTCATTTGAAAGACTGCTGTAGCAACGTCGCCGAATGAGCGTCCTCCTTAAGGGGCGCCGTCAATGCGCGGTTGGCTTGAGCTGTTGAGACCGGCTGCGCGTCGGGTCGCCGCGCGGGCACGCCGCTTCCCAGGACTGGAAGCGGGCCCGCTGCTGGCGCGACGCGGCGCAAGAATTTGATGCGCGCGGCGTCCTGGAAATCAGCGCTGGCGGCGAGCGCTTCCATCGGCGGGCCGTCGGCGCCAGTCGCCACGTTGCGCGCGCCTGCGTCGGCCCCTACATGCCGCCGGGCCACGGCGCCCGACTCATGCGGCGCCCGCGCCTCGGCTTCAATGTCGCAGATGAAGCGCTCGCGTTCGGCATTCATCTGGGCAGAACGGCGCGCGTTTGCCAATTCCACTGCGGCCCAGACGTCTGCGCTGACGTCGACGGCTGGTTCGAAATCGACTTGCCCACGGCGCGCGTCGTCGACGGACCGTAGTTCCCCCGCGTCGTCGACGCTGCTCCGGCGAGGCGCGCGATCGGCCCAGTCGATCGCCGCCCGCGAAACGAACTGCGACAAGCAATTCGGAGCGCGCGATGCGCGCGGGGCCTGCGTCGAGAACTCGACGCGAGACCGCGAGCGCCGCCGCGTTGGGGGAGCTGGCGGCGCAGGTGCACGCCCCGAACGCGGCGCTGGTGGACGCGGCGGCAGCCGCCCGCGCATTGCGAACTGACGCGACGACCAGAGTAACCTCGAACGCGGGCGCGCAGCAAAAACAAAAACAACGTCCCTGAACGCGAGCGCGAGGAACAAGCCGCGTCTGCAGCGGCCGCTGCAAGATGAAATGGCGCACGAGCCGAACTGTCGGCTGACGGGGTGCGCTTTTACCGCGCGGGCAATTTCGGCTCGAATCGGACCGCGAGTTTTTGCCGTGGCATGGGCCATGCCCGGCCCCCGAAGCACGAAAGCTAAGCGCGCCGCTTGCCGATCTGTCGGCCGAAATCATCCCGCGAATTATTGCGCGACGCCGCGCTTTTCTGTCCCGGCCTCGCGCCACGATGCGTCGCGATGCGCGCAGGCCGCTGCCGCTCGCGCCGCTTGCAGGCGCCCCCCCGAGCTTCTCGCGCTTCTCGCGCGAAGCCGGCACTAGGGCTTGCGCCTCGCGGGGCGCGGCGGCGTCCTTGGCTTCTGCTGCTCGTCCCACTGGGGCCGCGAGCGCTTGGCCCCTTTGATCCAGCTGGGGCCTCCCTTGCTAGAGCCGCCCTCGTCCCAGGGCCCCCCCTGCTGGGGCCGTTGCCCCAGGGCCGCGCCGCGCTCTTTCCGCTTGGTGCCGCCCTTGGCGCTCGTCTCAGACGGCGCCGCCATGTTCGCGGCTTCGTCGGCGCCGCAGGCCCCCTGCGACCCGGGATGGCAGGATCCGGGCGCTTTGCCGCGCGATCCACCTGCGCGCGACCGACGGGGCCAGCGCGACGCAGAAGCGCGCGCGCCAACAACAGCGCGTGCGGGCCACGAAGGACGAGTCGCCCGAGCGCGAACGTTCGGCCCGATCTTTGCGGGCCTGCTCGTCGCGATAGACCGCGCGCTGCGCCCGCCGCTTGTTACGGGCAGCCCCGAGGCCCACCGTCATGCAGACGTCGCGATGGGCCGCGGCTGCGGCGTGGCTCAGCTGGCCCGTGGCGTGGGCGCCGACCGCGCAGCGGCTCCGCGCGAGGTGCCACTGGCCGAGCGTCGGCAGGACGCGCTTGGGCGTCGCCTTCGCCCCCGTTGCCTCGCGCGAGGAGATGGGCGCGACGCGAGCGCGCGACGGGGGGGCCCCGCGTCTGTGCCAAATTTCTCAAGTCCTCCGAAAGTTTAGCTTCGTCTTCGTCATCGCGGAGCGCCCCGGCGAGGAGCTGCGGCAACCGCTTGGATAATTTCACGCAGAGGAAGCCTTCTTCGATGCCGCGCTTCCGAAGCTTGGCCACTTCGCTGGCAAGCTCATCGACGAGGTCGGAGCAGCGCCGCGAGCGTCGCGCGCAGCATGGTGCCCACGCGCTGCCGCGACGCGCTAGGCGGCGCCTGGGCAGGAGGTCGCCGGGCAAACCCTCGGGGTTTGCAGTCTTGAGCGAGGCGCATCTGTCCACGAGGGCCGCCGCGGGGGCCTGCGACGCGACGCGCGCGACGTCGCGCGGCGGCGGGCGCGCGCAATCGCGCCGACAAGCCTCGCCCTTGTTTTGTAGAAGCGCGAGGGGGGCGGCGCT